ACTTGTGGGGAGAGTTTTGTGGACTTGTATTTTACCAAGCACGGGAGGAATATATGATTTATTTTTTACAATCTCACCAAATGAGCGCTGGAAGGCGGGACTTTGCAGCGACGTGATTGTGGGCAAAGTGACATCCTAGCATTGTGCACTTAGCAGCCGGTGCGCTCGCTCACAGCTCGGCACCTTCGATCGTTTGATCATTCCGCTTGAGCTGGCGAGCAACCTGCATTAGCGGCGCACGCCCCGGCGCTTCTCAAGAGGCCGGTACCAGCGCACACTCGGCACGCGCGGACCCACGTCACGAGCGAGGGGCCCGCCGCTCGGCCCACTCGACACTGGATCAACGTAGATGGAATTTGCAGATTGCTCCTGCTGCCCAGTGATTGTATTGAGTGTCCTTAGCATATGCCATCTGCTACAGAGTGGACTTTAACTGCTTCGTGATAGTTTTTTTCCATTGAGTTCCAATGCCACGTCTCAAAAATACTTTTCATACGTGAACAAAGATTACCGCGATTTAATCCCGATGAGATATGTAGCCGCCCCTGTGTAAGTGTTATTGCGAAGGTCTCGCGCGTGATGTAACGGATGAACCTCAATGGGCCGGTTGCCATGGCTGAATCAAGGACGTTGAGTTGAACCTCGCTGTGCGAGTGCGCGTCCACGTATCGCGCCGTCGCCGTGTGGGACAATCGTGCGAGTAGTGTGTCCGTTACCTCCGTATCGCCCTTAGATTAACATCCTCGGCGAGACAAACAGAGTCGGGGGGCGAGGTGGGAACAGACGCACGATTTTTTGCGTGCGTTGGCCATTTCACAAAAAACAAAATCTGAAGTGTTGCTTCCTTTGAGCGTGCGGCGACAAGAGAAGGAACGCCGTGTCCCTCTCCGCTTGAGTTGCGGCCAAATTAACTCCGAACCCCATTTATTTTGCCGCCGCTTGAAAGGAACGCGCCTGATTTAATAAGCGTGGGCGGCGCTGCCAAACGTCGCGACGCGGCCGTGCGGCCCGGCGGTCTCCCTGCGCGCTTTGCGTCGCGGTCGGCGGCGACTGCGGCACGGTTCCGTGCGACTGCCCGGTGATGAATTTAGCGAGGAATGGACTGTTTACACTCCGTCTTCAAAGAGCACCGCTCGCAGGGCCATGTCGCCGTGTGCCCGGTTTCATATCATAAAAAGGTAACGGTGCAGCCCCTGCGATTGCTAACTCCGCTGCGGGCGGAAGGGCCTCCACTCAAGGGAGCTCTGGAGAGCCCCTCTAGAGGGTGTTGGGCCTACTCTTCCACAGCTGTCCAGATGTCTTTGAGTAGGTGGGAGTGCCCACGCTTCGCCGCAGGCGAGCTGTCGGGGGCACTGTGGCTTACTGTTCATGTTTACGCTGCAGGGTGACACGGAGTGGCGGGTCGCGGGGTGGAGAAACGTCCACCGTTGTGTCGGCTGCCCGCGCCGGGAGGTCGAATCGACGGGCGACCTCTGGATGGCAAACCCTGTGTGCGCTGACCGTTACTCTGCAGCGGTTGGACAGTGACTTCCAACTTGATTGCAAGCCCATTCGGGCGGATTAAAATGAGTGCCACTTTGTGGGACGTCAGCCGGGATTTTTCCTTGTGAGGAATTGCCCCTCCCGCCCCCCCCCCCCCCCATTGCTCACTTCAGCAAGGACACTGGCTTCACGTGATGTGGGCATCGACCTCTTCCGTTGTGACCTCCAGAGGTCTGCCTTGACAGGTGCCTGTGAATTATCACCTGGAATGCGCCGTTCTCATCAAATCTCAGAAGCTCAGCAGGGTGGAGCTTGGATAACGTCTGGATGGGCGACCACCGTACACAATACGGGGAGCTGTGGGGCTTCCTTTGCAGCAGGAAATAGTGTAGGACCTCCATTGTTGTACTGTACTCTGCTCCGAGATCTATACTCCCCTCCCTCACCAATTCCCACTGAGCAGAGTGGTGAAGTACGGTCGAGTCAGCCCCACGTGCCGCACGACTGGACGGAGGACGGCATCTCGTCGTAATTCTTGTGAGCATTGCCCGACAACAGAAGATTTGCAGTGGGCCAGTGCGTCCGATGAAAACATTATTGCAGGTATAATTCTCTGTTGTGTCACCTTGGCGAAGAGCGAACGGCGCTCGCGCCTTCGGAGACCCGTGGCGGTCGAGGGTTGTGAGGTGATGGCACTCAGAAGATACCGGGCTCCGGACAACGCTTCCTCTCGTCGGTTCTCTCGTCCGGCTTGAGACGAAAAAACAAAGAGCGGAAATGTGTGCGGAGTGCATCCTTCCAGTCTGGCCCAGTCACAGGGCACCAGCATCCCCGGTGAATGATTTGAAAAAAAAAAACATGCGTCAGCTGCTGGTTCTCTTTTATTTGTTGTACGTACGCACATTGAACTTCGTTGGCACCCTAAGTAGCCAACCGTGGCAAATCGGAGGTGCGGGTGAAGGACGGCAAACCGACACGCACAAAGCAGTTCTGAAGAAATTAGTTTTCACCCTAGATGATTTAACAGTGCATTGCTCCAGTGGCTTTCTAATATTGGAAGGAAGAGCGTTCCAGACGGCCGCTGAAGCGCATCCGAAGGAGCGCGATGGGGAGACCGTCTCCTCTGTTCGACGGCCAGCAGCCAAAAGCCGTTTTGGCGAGGATGAGCGGCGTTCGCGTGGTGATGGTTTACGCTCCACGACGAAGTCGGCGAGGCGGTTTTGTTTTTCTAGTTGAAGCGAAGAGGACCGTCCCGCGCGAAGGCGTCGGGGACAACGGCTGACGCACGTCGGGTGGCCCGTCGCGGTGCGCGGAGCAGTCGACGCCTCAGCGGTGCCAGGCCTCCGAGCCGGCCGCCTGGCCGCGCTTTTACGATCCCGTTCACCTGCGTGTCGGCTACAAAAGTTCTCGCTCGTTTATTTTTCCATGCCCTTCGCGCTCTCGCTCTTGTTTACATCACCGCCGCTCCAACGTCTCCCCTCCCACCCCCACCTTTTATCCATAAAATATACGGTTTTCTCGCCCCACACACACTCAGTCTCCCCCCTCCCCCCCCCCCGGGGCCTCTCCTCAGCGCGATGTCACTGCCTCTCCTCCGCTACGCTCCCCGTCAGCTGAGGGGAGGCTTTCGCTGGACGTTAATTTAAGGCCAAGCCGGCGGAGGGAGGCCACTTGGGATAGCACCGTCCCTAGAGGTGACCCTCAGTCACTGGGCAATAAACGTGAGAGACGCCCTCCCACAGCACGCACGATCAGTGCCTCTGTGGGAGAGTTATTAGGTCTCATTCACGCGTACGTGCAAATGCGCGCGCGCACGCCAAGCTTGGAAAAGGACAGATGGAGAGGCCCATCTGTGTGTCGCGTAGCACACGCCGCCAAATATACTGAGCAGGGCAACTCGTTTAACCTTCCCGAGAACCGTTAAGAGAGGCGAAGCTTGCCGGGTGAAAGCTGCTGATGTGTGACTGCGACGCTGGATCTCTGTCGTTGGCTGTGCTTGTGTATCTGGACTGTGTCTGTACATGTGTTTTTATTGCATATTTTATTTCCTATACGCGAGCATATGGGAATGTTTATGCACATGTTCACATGTGCATCTAAGCATATTTGTTGTGCGCACGTTCGCATGTGTCTGTTGCTTTGTGAACACGCGTGTGGGACATTGTGAGATCCTGGATACAGAGCTGTCTAGGCAAAGTCTATTGAATGTCCTCACCATTTAGGCAGGACTGCATTGAGTGGCTCATTAGGCCTAAGATACCACTTGCTTGGGCATTTTTTGCGAGATCAGTCCGGAGTGGTTTAAATGAGCCCAACCCAGGCTATAGCAAGCAGCAGGGTCTAGTGACATGGTACACGAGGACATCCCACTGGTTGGTATCTGCAGTGTGCATCGGTCTGTTCGGAGTTTGTGCTTGAGCGATGCCGCTGGGAAGCCCCTAGCAGTAACGTGCGGTGGAGGAGCTTTGCTCACAAGAAGGAATAAAGCGTGGAACGGCTGAAAGGTGGCAACGAGAGAAACTGGGTCAGGGTTTCCCAGAAGTCACAATTCCCATCAGCGCATCCAGCTACCCTATAGCATCTGGATGTATCCTACTGTAGCAAGTCCATGAGCCTTCAGCGGTCTGCATGGCCTCATATAATCACAAACCTTAGCACAGGTAGCAGTACAAGATTTGAACAATGCCCCAGCAGTGGCAATGTCTGGCAGGCAAGGTTGCAGTGCCCAGCCACTGTTTGCTCAAGCAGCTTCGGTTTGGCCGACTCGATGCACGAGTGCGGAATGAGCCAGAGGATTAGCTGATATGGTGCAGGATGACCTGGAGATTAACGGACTTGCCAAAGGCCAGTATCAGAGGTGTCACGGTCAACCTCTGTGAAGGAGGCTCGTGAATGATGCGATTTGCAGTTGCTTGCAGTCGCAACAGCAGGAGGTGGAGGAGGAATGCGTACAACAATGAGCAGTGTAATGGACTATTACACAGCGAGTTAGCGCAGTGGGAGCCTAAGTGGTGGACCTGCTGGTCACTCCGGTCTGTTAACCTATGGCACCTGGGTTTGTCATGCGACCTCCTGCAAGCCAACCTTCACCATGCCACGGCTGCAAACTGCACCTAACCTGGCACAAATACTGTGGTAATATCACTGCTACATAGGCAATAGTAGTTGCTGCTATTGCTACGTACGTCTGTGTATGGCAAGTGGTAAGGCAGTGGTTTGCGTGTTGCGCACAAATGGGTTCGATCGTTCACCACCGCTAAACATCAGTGGTGAGCGATATCAGAATTGGTCCTGGAACTCCCCTATATAGACTCGGCCTTAAATGAGTACCGGGTGGCGTTGCGTGAAAACCGGCACTGGGGAGACAAAGGCGGCCGGGCGTGGTGCTGTGACCACGCCGCTCTCGCCTTGTGCGCCATCCTGCCCTCCGTTACCGATGGCTGGCGGCACTTCTGACCGTCCGTTAGTGGCTGCGCGGTGAGGGGTGTCCGTCTCTGACCGTCTCTGTTCGTGTGCAGGCATCTGCAAGGCAATTGGAGTGAGCAACTTTCAGCAGCACCACATGGAGGAGCTGCAGGAAGACTGTGACGTCACCCCGCACGTGAACCAGGTGCGTGGAGCGCGCCGGGCTGCTCTACACTTCCGTTGCCTCTCACTCGGTCGGCTGCTTTTGTTTCACAGCTCTGCTCCGGCATCTCCCATGGTGAAATGAAAGCACGAGGATGCGATTCAAATACCACGTGTGATTGTAATTGGTGTAATGGTACGCCTCCCAAATGTCCGCATGTTGAATGGAACAGCTTCTTCGTATTCTGCACACATTTTCCTCTTCGTGGGAGAGCTGTTGGCTTTTGTATGGAGTGTAATGTACGGTAGATATTTTCAACATTTTCTATTGCAATTTGTACTTCATGGATAGAAATAACACCAACTGATGCCACGGACTTTAAGCTTACTTATTTTGGAAACACCAAACATCTCCACGGAATACTTCGGCATAATCCAAATTCTGAATCTGAGACACCACGCCGTGAAGGGCTCTCTTGTTAGAATCAAATGACAGCATTATTAAATGACGACTTTTTTTAGAATGCCAAGTTCTAGCAGTACTCTCCTTGCTTTCTCTTTGCTCTGAAAAAGGAGGGCCCGAGCAGGGAAACGTTGGCCCAAGATGCCGGATGGTTATTATCGTCGTATTATTTAGTGATGGTGATGGTAAAGTATTTAGGGGTCTGCGTTTCGACACGACCGCCAACGCTGTGCCCGTGGTTTCTGTTTGAGGTTTTACCGCGCCCCTCGTGAGGGGGGTCCTAACTCCGTTGTCGTTGCCTCCTCCGCCGCGTTCATTGGCGACGCTCAATAAATAAAAAATCGTCTAACGACACGGCGGCCCTGCCGTTAAAAAACGAAGCCTCGAGAGGATGGGATCTCAAAAAGCACACCGCTACGAAGCGCTTCACTGAAAATAAAAACGCGATTCGAGGTGCATATCGGGCCCTGTTGGTCCTGTGTCGGCGGCCCACTGGTGTCAACAGGCCTCGGCCATGTCTGTTGTTGTTGTTGTTGACCAGCTTGCTGGCTTTAGGCGATCCCCACCTCTAAATTTGGTCTCCAGTGACCGGTTTCAGGCTCCACGTGTCCGATTAAATCTCAATGTGTGGCGATGTTGCTGCACGGGCAGTGGCGCAGAAGCACAAATAACGGAAAGAAATCAACATATTCGTCACTAACACCGCTTTAAACTCAACTCGTCCGTCAATAACACCGTGTTATTCACAGACGTGTTTCAGTTGCTTTCTTATAGCGCTCGCTGCTGTTGGCAAGAAACTAAACAGGGAATCTTTGTCTTTATTTGCGTGTGGCAACACACAGACACACGTGCACACAAAGACAGGATTCCCCGTGTGACAAGTGCTGTTAGCGAGTAGCGCCTATGGAGCATGGCCCGGCACACGACGGGGTGAGTGGTCAGCACCACGCCTGGCCACCTTTGTCTCCCCAGTGCCGATCTTGTTTACATCCTGCACCAGTTACTCATTTAAGGCTGTGTTGACCTAGGGGCGGCCAAGGACCCGGTCCAGATTTTCGTCACTGTTATTGGTCCCGAACAGGAATTGAACTTGAATCAACTTCAATTCCTGTTCGTAGCGCAGCGCGCCAATGACTATACCACCGCTCTTCACACCTCCGCGCACAAACGCACGCATGCACACGCACATGCACACGCACATGCACATGCACACGCACATGCACACGCACATGCACATGCACACGCACATGCACATGCACACGCACATGCACACGCACATGCACACGCACATGCACATGCACACGCACGCACACGACACGCGCACGCACGACACGTGAACAACATCAGGGCGGGATATTTGTTTTTCTTAATGGGGCCGCTTGCCAGGGTGCAGCCGCGCCGCTGCCGGTGTCTGCGCACGAACGCCGGGGACCTTTCACGCCGGGGTCCCCCTGCAGAAGCCGTCGCTGGCAACCCCTTCGTCCCCCCGGGGGGGGGGGGGCAGCCCGGGCGATGACACGGCCAGGATGGGACTCGCGAGACAGCAGCGGGGAGAGCAGTTGCAAGGGGTTGAGATGGGGGGTGGGGGGTTGGAATGGAGGGGAAAAGTGGGGTAAGGGTGAAGAGGTGGGTGATGGGGGAGCTTGGCGGATGGGCGGAGAGACCGAGGGACAGGCAGAGAGAGGAGCGGAGCTGCTGTGTCTGTCCCGGTGAATCGGCGCAGAATTCACATAAGCGTCAGGTTTATGTGGAAAATCTGCTTTGTAGATGCGTTTTGGCAGGCGTAAAGGTTTACCGTGTCTCAGTGAAACACGGCTTGTGGCACCGAGCCACCGCTGCTGGCGCGGCGCTGTCTCGTCAGCACGAACAGCGCAGCACCCTCACGTCCCGGGGACTTCCTTCGCCACTGCCCCGCGCCAGCAGCCCACGGCAAAATAACCGTCCTGGCGACGGTGATGCTTTCCAGGCAGGAATCTCAGCGAGGTTGGGGTCGGGTGTTATTGACGATATATACACACACACGTAAATTATGTTATTGAATGTTATTTAAACAATATACGGTACGTATGCAGTGTGTACGCCTCGCAATATTGTAGGGACCGGGTGGAGCGGTGGCACAGCGGTTAGCACGTTGCGCTATGAACCCGGTGGCTTGAGTTCGATTCCCAGCCACGGCTCGCACCAGTGTCGAGTGATATTTGAACCGGTCTCGGATGCTCCTCTCTTGCCCTCCCGCGCTGACCGGCGTGGTGAGACAACCGAGGTGACCCACACGGCGTCGGCGTGGGGCGGGGGGGCGTTCGTCCAGAAGCTGATTTCGACGAAGGGCTGAATATTTGTTTTCGTTGTGAGCAGAGCCACGATGTCAACCCAATGGAGGGTGTCCACGAGGGTCCTCGCCAAGTCATCTCATTTCCTCCCACGTGCAAAACAACTCCTTAACAAGCTGGCCAAACATCCTATTGCAGGACCCACCTGAAAAGCAATCTTGATACTTTCCTGGAAAAATAAGACGTATGTACCCCAACCCGATCCTTTTTCTGTTCTCAGTCGGTTGAAAGGGGATTTTTATTGCTTGGAGAAGCAACGTCGCCCGGTTTAACGACGACATTCTAGCTGTGCGTGGTTTTAGAGCAGGGCACTGATGACACGAACCACCTACCCCACGCTGTTTGAAGATGCTCGGCACAGCTTGGCGCCGACATAGGTGGTCCGGCCCTAACGTTACGAGGTCGTACCAACCTACCGCTGACTCTAAATGGCCAATGTGGCCTTTTGTTAATAAAGCAGCGGCACTCCTTAAGAATAATAATTTACAGTTCGCTGTCAATCCACTGCTGGATGAAGGCTTCCCCATGCAAGTTTTAGTTATGGCGGTTGTTTTAACATTCCTCACCATGCTGCAATGGAGAGGGGAGGGAGCCCAAAACGGATTGGCATGTCACTCGCCGCTGACGTTAGCCATGGCCAGGAATTGAACTCGGGTGGTCGCGATCAGAGCAACGTGCACCCGTCACTGTGCCACCGCACCGCAAGCCCAGGTTTCCAGGAGTTAAACTGAAGCAATGATTTAATGTCAGAGTATATTACGCACATCAATAATGATTCATAAATCCAAGGAAGAGTCATTGCCTTGAGGCTTGCTATGTGTTTTGTAAGAGAACCCTGGATGAATAGTTATCTATGGAATTGAATCTTGGGGTAATGTTCGAAAGTAAAGATTTGGGCATGAGCAATAACCTCCACGCTTGCGAATGATTTAACAGCATCGTCATCGTCATCGTCAGAGCCCACGAGTCAGCAGATGACACCCGTCAACAACCACCCACCGGTTTCGGGATGAAAACGGTCCAAGTGGCCTGCAGCGGGGATGTTGGTCATCACTGGGGTGATGCCTGCCACCCAGCAATCACCCAGCAATCACCCAGCACTCACCCAGCCCCTCCGTGCCCATCGTCTAGCAAGCCACTAAACAGCACAGGGAGATGTACATTGGGGCTGTAATGGACCCTCACTTAATGGACTGGATTGTTAGCTCGGTGCCTGTTTTGTGTACTCAGAGACCCGTGCAAAGGTTTACTCAATGTGTAAATCACGACCTTTGGGTTTTTATCAGTTTGCTTGTGCAGCCATCTCTGCCCAGCTTCCCTGAAGCGCCTTGTTTTTTGCACTTTAAGATGCACCGCTGACCACCAGCCCCTCCTCCACCCCCAGGACCCCGACTCCCACTCGGTGGGCACTTCGTCTTTGTCTGGCGTTCTGCTTTCTCTTCTCCGTCCTCTTCCTTTGACTTTGCATAGCAGCTGCTGATGAGTCCAGGACCAGGGCTGGGCTCCAAGGCCGGGCCTGGGGCCTGAGGAGGGCCTCTGTGTTTTTTACAGATGTCCATCACAACAGCAGCATGCAGTGAGGGGACAACAATGGTGCTCAGCCACACACGCATCGTCTTGTGCCGGGGTGCTTTAGCCTCCAGCGCTGCGATGTGGTTGCTTTGTAGCGGCACGTGTTCGTGCCCATCTCCCTCGGTTTGCCTGCTTTGCCCTTATCTCCGAATGCCCCTAATTAAGACAGAGGGGACACAGTGCAGCCCAAAGACCCTAAGGATGCATTCTATATTTCAAGCCCTCATTGCAGCTGTCAGATAAATGCTCTTTGAGAAGTACTTGTAAGGACGTGTGGTCAAAGCATCTCCTTAAACATTTTTGGCCACACGACATATGGCTTTCTTTAGACTGGATGTGGTCGGCCTTTAATGTGCGTTTGTGTGTGTGTGTGTACGCGCGTGCGTGCGTGTGTTTGTGTGTGAAGCGAAAGTGTGCATTTCATCAAACGCGCGTGTATGCGGTTGAGTGCACGTGTGCGTTCACAGGTATGGGTTTGCAAGGCAGGTGCAGTAGGTTAACTCCATCTGCCATTGACTAAATCAGAGGAGAGATGGCTGCCGAATCAATCATTCCACTTATAAAGCGCCAGGTGAGAGCCCAGCGATACACCACGTCTGCCCTGCGAGAGACACCTGCGGGGAGGGCGTACATGAAAGACGGACGTTACGGAACGCCAAGATTGGCCTCGCGTTCAGC